TCTAATCTGTATAATAATCTCACATGTTTATGTTTAAATTTTGTGACAGTCTGAGCAACTATTAGCTTCTGAGCACACAGTTACTTCAAAAAATCAAATCCAGGGGGGAACATTATGAAAATGGTCGGTTGAGGACGGGGTGACAGACGATTCTAGAAAATGTAATTTTATTAAGGTGTAATGTTTTTATGATTGGAAGCCATTACTGCCTGATCTCTGACCACTTGGCTTACCACATAATTATAATTAATGTTTATTGGTATTCTGTAATTCAGATAAATAAAACAGATTTAAACCAATAATTTAATTCATCAATAAAATACATTAATATTGGCTAAAATCTTCTATTTTAAATTATAAATTAACATATGTCTGATTTTACGTTTTGAAATTCTTTACGCTCGGTCTGGGGCCGCTAGACACACCGCGTAATTATGATACTGTTTCTTGGCTTTCAGTAATTCAGATAAGTTTAAACAGATTAGGAGTAGAATGTGCTTAAAAACAAAAACACATTCGTATGAGATAAACTGTTTTATTTTAGATTATCAATTTACCTAACTGTGGGGAACACTTGTTGCACAGCACATAGGACTTGGATCAGTGCGTTCTTATGCTCGCTTCGGGGCTACTTTCATGTGGTGACGTCACTCTTGTCAAAGAGGGACGCAGTGGTGGGACGCACGTTTGACAAACTTCTGAACATGTCACAAGTCAACAGAATTACTATTAATAACAAATGGAATTCTTGAATTCTTTCTGTTAATCACATTATAAAGTCCGCTAATCGTTAGGTGATAACAGAGACATCTGTCGGAAAGCATTAATCAGCCATTTTGGCGGTTAGTTCAGAGAGTCCTTGGATCGCGTATGGAGTGGACGCAACGTTACGTGCTTACCAATTTTCTGTGCAACCAACCGCTTGTAGTAGGCCAGCTTGCATTATAGTGAATTTAATCAACAAATTGCAAGTATTTATTGCTTAGTAGTGATTAATTAAGTTTGTAGAAGCTCAAAAATGTTCATAAACTACTTTACACAAGTTCGTTAGTTGAGCAGTGAGTGGGGTCCATCGTGACTTTAATGAAGTTTATAAGTTAATAGTTTCTTAAATTCTGCAGTAATAATTTTAACTTAGATCAAACGTAAATATTACGAGGATAGAAATTGCATAATTACTATGTAGAGAAGTCATTAGTTGTCACTAAAATTACTTGGAGAATTCGCATTAATTATGGCGCCATTTTTGACGATAGGAAAGTTTATTGCAAGCGATGCAGCCATATTTGATTTCCCAGCTTCTTTCAGGCGCCAACATGAATATTACAACTTTACGATAAAATTTATGTGTGAGTGTGGAAACACTCATTATAACACTAAAATTATTTTTTTAAAATTTACTGTTAAACTGCGTAATTAAAAAATTTGTTGGAAATTCTGTAGGAATTTTAGCGCCATTTGTGACGACAGCAAAGTTTATTTGAGAAGATGTAGCCATTTTGGAATTTTAAGATTGTTTTTGGTGCAAACATGAATATTAAAACTTACAACGAAGTTTATATGTGACTGTAAGGAAAGATTCATTTTCCGGTTTAGGATGTTTTAATTAATTTCATTCATTTATTTGTTGTGTTGTATTTTCTGTGTGCTAGAAATGACCGTCTTCCAAAAATAATGTTAGAATGCTTGCACTAAAGTTCCAAGAACAAGTCTCGGGCACTCGGGAGCCATGGACAGGCCGAATGCACTAGAGTGCAGATGTTAGAATGAGTCATTAATTCGTACGTAGTGTTTTTACTGGGGATTTGTGGAACCGTTCTGGAAACCAAGCAAATGCAAATAGTCTTAGCTGACATCCGACATTTTATGCACTGTTACAAACAATAGAATTGTATCACGCCATTTCTTGTAGTGGTCGCGTAGTTTCTGTATTGTTCGCGGTCAAAAATTTCGAGATGCGGCTGTGAAGTGTACGCGTTTATTCTCGAGGACTTCATCAGGTGCTGTAGTTTTATTGTGTTTGTGCGCACGCGCGTGATTACAAGGACTCTCTTAAGTATCTGTGGTGCTGTGTTGTGTCAACGGCTGCAGCTTTCCAATGGAAACAGCAGTTGCAGACTTCGATGTCCAGATTCAGAGGAGGCAGACTTCGAACCAGGGACCATGGCAGGAAGAGCAACGCGCAAACCGTAACGTTAATATTAGTGTCGGCCGAACTCTTAGTGGTTGAGGACAAAGATTCAGTTTAACTTAAAACATAACTTGATTTTAGTTTTCTCGGTCTTTCACTTCATTGTTGAAAGAACCGTCTGAATCTATAGAGCAGTGAAATGTCATGTTTGTCTACAAAATGAGTTCAAGATTCAGCATTAGAGAACGACATCGAATGTTTTTTTTTACACAGAAAAACGCATTAAGCGAATAATTAGATGTAATTGTTTTATGCATTTTTTAATTATCGATAAACGGGCATCCGTGACGTTTACATTTTGCGTTTCACGTTCCAGTAGACGCAACCGAATTAAGATTTTACGTATTGAAAAAAAGTTACTGGCGTTGAAATACATTTTCAATCGAATGCGTCATTTTAGATCAAGCTGAGTTGACACCGGACTTATTCTGGCGACCAGTTCGTTCATGAGCAACAAGGTAAGTGCAGGGAGGGAACTTTGCAGGTTGGACTTCGTTTTATCTTCGAATTCAACGGAGTGTCGTGACAAAGCAAGTCTGGCTTCCGTTCTCACGTGATAGTCGAAGTAAGGAAGATAATTTTGGCGGCGTTTAATTTTCGTCATTAAATGTCTCGGGTTGACGGCGTTCAACTGTGAATATCGTATTTTAAATTCATTTGATTTGTACTTGA